GGAGGTTGCAGCCATTAAGGTGGAAATGAGGCCTGGCCAGCCTTCCTCCTGAGGTGTTGCTACAGCTCCCAGAGGAAGGTTTCTGAGGGTGCTTTTGGAGCCCGGCAGGTTTTTTTCTTTGGGCGATGCCACCAACTTTGTCAGAGCTGGGCAAGGCGCCCGGCGAGGCTGTGGGGCCCACGTATGGTGGGACCCCAAGGCCTTCAGGCCCGCCCAGAGCATCCCCCCAGCTGTAATTCGGTCGCCATCCTGGCTCGCAAGCGCTGTTTCCAACGTTTTGCTGCTGTGCAAGCGCGGGCCCTGTTCCTAATACATTAAAACCTTTCTGTTTTCAAAACAGCATCGTTGCACCTCAGGACTGACAAAACCAGACAGCGGTGAAAGGGACGGCGACATGGCAGACACAAAAGCTCACCGCATTACGGCCACTCTAAACAGAGCACAAAAGCGAGGGAGTCAGCGATGTGTAAACCAAACAATGTGAGGGGAAAAAATATTGAATAATTTCTGTCATGAGGCAACTGACTAAAGCCAGGCTCTAATTGAATTAAACTCCCATTTATTTGCTCAGGCCTAAACAACAGGCTGGGAAAAAAAAAAAAAAGAGGAAGGGGAAAAAAAAAAAAAAACTTAAGGTTTGGTCAACTGTTCGGAGGTACCACCTTTCCTCACCCCTGTATAAATCCACCATCTGTGCTCACACGCACACATGTGCCGTCGCGCAGCAAATGCGCCGAGACCCGACCGAGCGCAGGAGCCAAAAAAGCACCAGGCACACAAAAGCTCCCCAGGCTGCCCCAGGTCTAAGGGAGCAGGGAAAAAAAAAAAAGGGGGAAGAAAAGATCCTTTGCTCATTGCCCAGGTGAGATAGCCTGGTGCGTCCTCTCAGCCTCGACACGCGTCAAGTAAAAGAAAGGTTAAAATTAGAAAATTCAATTTATTTGATAATTTCCCAGAATAATTAGAGTTAATATGGGTTAATTAATATGCAAATCTCTCAGCAGATGTTCTGCAGCAGGGCCTGTGTGAGAAAACAGCCTTTGCTTTCTCCTACGTGATTTTGGCTGTCAGTTATTGGGTATAATTACTGTAACTAACCGAATACACACAAAACCTTTGGAATATAAAATTGTTACAGTTCTAGTTCTGCACAAGCTGCTACTTTTCTGCAATAAAAGCGAACAATTTCTTTCAGAAAATAGGAGCCTTTTTGTTCCTTTCTTGATTTAAAAAGAAGAAATGAATCAAGTAAATGGCTTATCTTTTTTCTATGCATAATTAGGTCAGTATTATATGAACATTCCAATGAGCAGTGGTACAAACGTACATATAAAATGATAGCTCAAACCACCTGCAAAATCGCATAAAATTGTTTTATTCAGAATCTTTTTCTTCATACCAGAACTTTGAAACGCTCCGTGTCTTTCCTGCCAATGTTGCCAACATTTGCCAAATTCAAAGGGATCCCGTAACTTTTATTATTTTTTAAAAGCACAACAGCAACGTTTTCTTCAAAGGCACCCGAACATTTAGGGCTGATAAAACAAGGCATAGACCAGTGCTGTGCTTGAGCTTTTATTTTTTGGAAAGGAAAATGATTGCTGTGAAGAGTTTGCAACTTTGAACAAGAGGGTTTTGCTGTGCAGCCCACGTGTCTGCAAAACACACCCTTGCGTCCCATGATCCAAACCACCCTCTACCCTCTCCTGATGAGATATAGTATTTCACATTTATCAAAGCACTTAGCGCTTTTGCGTGTCATCAGGTAAATAATATCTGTTTCTCCACATGAGGAGCATGGAAGATGACATGATCCAGAGGGATCTGGTCCCAGTGGGACCCAGGTAACTCAGGATCATTCCCCTGAGTAAAGCTTTCAGACTAGAGGTGAGCTCTGTTAACTGCAAATAGCCAAAAACCTCACTCAGAGCATTATTACAGGGCTGCTTTCCATCACACAGATGTGTTTTCTTGCTGCAATTTACCTTAAAACTTCAATATTTTTAAAAATTTTTATTACACTGATTTTTTATTTATTTCTTTACTTTAGGTGTTTCATTTTCATTCCTGGTTTCTCCAGTTCCATCTTCAAATTGTCTTGCCCTGACTGACACAACTGGAAAGACAGTTCAGAAAAGTAAGCAAACCTTTCCTGCTCTTTTTTTTTTTTTTTTTTTTTTTAATTGTCTGGTGTGGGGGGAGGGTCATCAGTTTTCTAAGAACGCTTTAAATAACTCCTGCCTTGGGAGACAGCTGAAAAATGATCATTTTTTTCTATAAATCAGGAAACAAAAGGCCTCCACCCTTTCCAAGAGCTCTCACAAACTTTCCCTTTTTGCCACCACGCTGGCATGGCAATAACCCCAGCCCATTGCATTGGCACACCCCTACCAGGAAGTGGAAAATAAATAGGGAAAAAGGTGATATTCTTCCACCTAAGCAATCAGGATTTTTTTCTATTTTTTTCCCCCAAGATGACACCCACAATGAAAAGTAAAAC